ATGGTTAGTAGCCAAATGCCTTAGGCACTACACCACCTAGGAAGTACTAAAGGAGCTCTGGTGGTGCAGTGCCTAAGACATGTGACTGCTAACCAGAAGTCTGGCAGTTCAAACCTACCAGCCAATTGGTGGAAGGAAGACTGGGCAATCCACTTCTGTAAAGATTTATCACCTCGGAAACCCAGAGGGATTGCTATTATTTGGAATTGACTCAATGGCAGTGAGTTAGGAAGTACTAAAATCAGGATTCGATTCAGGGTTTCTGGCTCTATTGAGCCATCTACTACAGGACAGAGGCTACTATAATAACTACTATTTGCATAGCATTGTATTGTTTATAGAGTCCATTCACATTTTATTTGATTATATAATGATCCTACGATAGTTCTAATTATCTTTTCCTTTTTAACTTTTAATTGTGATTTGGGTGAGAGAAGAGAACATTCTTTCTGAGCCCTATATAAAGAGATGCTGAGGCCAAACTTAGAGCTAAGTACATTTTTATTATTGATGTAAATAGGAAACAACAACGATGATATAAATTTTTTGAAAAATGTTTGCTTAGCAGTCTAATTAAACAAGACTGAATATTTTGCATTTTAATGCTCAGGAGAAAAATCACCAACTGTTTTGTAGCATGCTTGGAATTTTAAATTTCATTTTCTGGTGCCAGATTGAAATAAAAATAGGAAACATGATAAAGATTAATTTGATGTCAGAAGGGACATTTGCTCTTTAATTAGATTCCTGTAGCCCTAGCAGTTTGTTGTGCCACCCTAGCAAGTCCTACAAAACCTGCAGTGCAACCCAATAGTGATCCTCATACCCACACTTTACTGGGAACTAATTTCATTTCCTGCCTGTCTGGAGAGGTGTTTTCAACAGGCATCAATGTTTTTGTCTTCACAACTGATTTATTCATCAATCTCAATGTGATTTTTTTAAACCTTTAAATTACATCCAAATCCTAAAGCAGCTGTTTATTACACAAGGAAATTGAAAATCTGTCTGTGTGATATCATACAAAGATTTTTTCTTAAGGTTATAAAGGAAGTTGACAGATATTAATGATTTTTTTCTGTTGACCTCATTCAACAATATAGTGAGCAGAATAAAGGGAAGAAAACTGGACAGAAAAAGCAGCTCCATGGGTTTAGTGTATAAAATATGTTCCAGAAAAAAAGTGAAACTGTTACTCCTGTTGGACTATACAATTATTTTCATAAGAAACATTCATTTTCAGAAGTAAAATGAAATAACTAAAGTAATGCTGAAATATGAGACATTGTTTAAAATATACATTAGTCATTAACTTCTTTCTCTCTCTCTTTTTCCTCTATTTTTTGTTTGAATATATGAATGTGGCTACCATTCCCAGGAAGCAAATATCTTCAGGATAAAAGTGGTTTGGATGATGAATTGGGTCAAGTTTTATCCACCACTTGGATCTGCCACTACAGGTTAAATTTTGATGACTTGAACATTGGCCCTGAGGCTGCTGTAATTGAAGTCAATTAAATGACATCCAAGGGACATTGACTCTCTGACCCTGGTTTTAGGAGTGTTCACTTGCTGGGGCTGCTATCGGTCCTCCTAACCTGTAGGATCCTTCTCCAGTTACCTGCCTATGAATTTGATTTCATTCCTTTTTCACTGCTGCCACCCTCTTTCTGTCTCCTAGACAAGTAGACAAGTCAAGCTCCTCCAAGCATGGTCTGCCTAGGCCTCTGCTGCAATGTCCCTCCTTATCCCTCCCACCTTCCTAATTTTCAAAGGTTGCCTCCTCTTCTGATCCTTCAGGTTGGATGGCAGCCCTTGAGAGGGGCCTTCCTCTTTCACTCTTGCTAAAGGCACTGCCCTTTCTCCATGTGCTCTGCAGTCTATCTCCTGTTGTGTTTTCTCCAGAGAATTGTAATTACAGGTAGTCCCTGACTTCGGGTGTATTTCATTATTACTGGCGCAGTGCCTAAGGCATTTGACTGCTAACCAGAAGGCTGGCGGATCAAACCCACCAGCCACTCTTCGGAAGGGAAGTTGGAAAATCTTCTTCTGTAGTGATATCACATTGGAAACCCAAGGAGGGGTTGCTGTGAGTCGGATCCGACTCAATGTCAGTGAGTTTGGTTTTTGGTTTGGTGTGTGTGTACATCTTACCATTAGTAATATGCGCTACATACAATATTGCAGTGCATAATATGCTGATGTCAACCCCCAAAGACAAAGATTGAATTTCTAAAGATATTGATAATAAAAAGCAATAATGATGAAAACTGAAAAAAAAAAAAAGAGGTATTTGACTTATGTCAGAACTGACCTAGGATGGAGCGGAACAGAACCATGTTATAAGTCAGGGACTACCTGTATTTCTCTGTGCATCTAAACCTCCTCTCCTACTCTCTCTCTCATGTGAGCTTCATGGAGAAGAGGCCTCTTCACCAGTGTCATTCACCAATCAATCCCAAGAGCCTAGATTGTGCCTGGCACATGCTATATGTTCAACTAATGTTTTCTGAATGAGGGAAATTTAAAAAAACTTCCAAGGAACTGACATACAACATACCCTGTAATTCCTTCCAATATTAAACACTTTTACAATTCCTTTGCATCTTCATTCATTCATTTGTTCATTCAACGATTTCACTGACTACCTACCATGATCAAGGCACCGTTCAAAGTGATTTTAGCTAATATAGCCTTTGGAGCTCTTTATTCACCATTTGGGCTCATGCCTGTCTTTAGCTATGATGTAAGCTGCAACTAAGGTCCTACCAGCTCTTCAGTAAGACCACTTTCTGTGATACACCAACAGAATGGACTTAAAGATAGGTAGACAACTTGCTTAATGTAATCTTTTCTAGTCTTTCCTATTCAGTGAAGATTCTAAACGGAGAAACAAATTTGAATTTTTACATGGGGCCTTATATAATTCTGAAATATATGAAAACTATTCAGGATTACAGCCAGTTCATCCAAGGTCTTAGTATAAACAGAAAAAGACACCAGCTCTGAGTGGGTAAATTAGAAAAAAAAAGTTCTCTTTCTGGACAAAGGCAACCTTCCAGCCCACAACTTGGGGAGGGGTTGCACCTTAGGTATCCCTTCTCTGGGAGTAAGTAGGCCCATGGTGGGATGCCGGAACCGAAGCCTGGGTCCCTCAGCTAAGTAGCACCCTTAGGCAGGATCACCCTGCACAACTGTATGTCCCTCAAACTCGTAATGTTTTACTCAGACACTACTGGTTCACATGAATGCTCCAGGAGTGTTCCTTTACTGTGAATGATGACTGATGGGAAGAATGGAAATTTGACCCTGTGGACAGGCAGGGGTATGGGAGTCTGCCTTCCCCCTACAATCTTCTCCAGTGAATCAACACAGGTTCGTTGGAAATAGGCAACCAAGTCATCAGAGCTTCATCTGTATCCTTGGCTCAGGAACCTAGGAAGACTCCAGTAAAGAGATAACTTCCTTTATGCCCCATAACTATTTTTATTTTCAGTGCCCCAGATGGGACCATAAGTATTTTGATTGTCAAACTAATTAGGGTTTAAAGAACCTCTAAATTTGTAGGAGACCTGGGTCTTTTAATAAGAAACAGTTAATTTCTAAAAGAATGATTAAGAATGATCTTAATCATCAAGCCTGAAGTCACATGTTTCATATTTAATAATCTAGGCCCTGATTTTTTAACAGATCCTGGTAATTCCAGCTCTGAGCTTAAGAGAACATTACAGAACTCTGTAAACTTTGGTTTCCTCATGTTTAAGATGCAGATAAAGCTAGCACCTGCACCACAAGTCTCCTGAGAACGAAAGGTGAGGGAATGGAGCAGAGCTCTGGGTTTAGTTATTTCAGCTATCAGGAATTCTGCTTAAGATGATTAATAAAAAGGATATTGGGACTGCACATATGAGGATCTTCTCCCTCCTGCCTCTCCATTATCCTAATCCAACTATGGATTCAAATTCCACAGCAGGTAGTCAGTAATTCCATAGGAAGGCAATGTTTGCCCATTTAATTATATAGCTCTGGGAATGACAGAGTACTTGGATGGTAAAAGTGACAGCTGAGTTTGATATGATTTGTAGTTTTTACCATTATCTGTTTTTTAAAGCCAGTGTTCAGGATTTTTGAATATTTTATAGTGAGGGTTATATAGTTTGTATTGTTTCTTTCTAATCTTCACATCTTAAAATAACATCAAAATTCAAAGGGAAAAAAACTTGATTTCAAAGAAATTTAATCTAAGATTACACACAGGTGGTTCCAATGACCTGGGGTGTGGGCAGGGAGGTGCCCAGCTCTCCTGAGTTTTCTAGTCAATGTGGAAGCTAATATCCATTTTAAAGGAAAACTCCAGTCAAAATGTTCCATTCTTAGGCCTTTTTGGATTCTACCAAATTAGACATTTCTGCCCAGAAACAGTGAAGCTGACTTCATTATGCAACATTTATTGTATTCAACAGGCACGCCAGTCAAGGACTTTCTCATTTTCCAAACTATATATATATATATATACACACACACACATATATTCAAATATATAATTATCTATCCCAAAGAGATCTCTGGCAGTACTTGGCATCTTTGGCATCTTAAAATAACCAATGTATTTCACTGAAAAAGCAGAAAACAAAAAACGGTGATTAGAAAGCTGAAACAAAATGGATATCATGGGAAAGGAATCAGTGATTATGAAAGGACATGACTATCAATTCTTGTGACTGTATAATGCTACACAAACCCATCAGCCATTTATAAAACGCAAATTACATGTTTTCAGCGAGCAGAACTGCATTTGTTGAATATCTTAGTTCTTTCTCTGTCTACTCAAATATAAGAACAGAAAAATCTCTCTCAGGGTGATGCCTACTTTTTGCACTGAAAGATTTAACAGTTTGAATCTACTCAGTGGTGCTATGGAAGAAAAGGCCTGGAGATCTGCTTCCATAAAGATTAAAGCTAAGAAAACCTTGTGGAAAACAGTTCGGGGGCACACTTACTTGCTGCATGGTGGGAGAATGTAAGGCCGACTGGACCTGCATGGGGAGCTGGCTCCCGAGGGGCTGCTGCATGCTGAGTGGCTGGTGTTGCTGCATGTTGAGATGCTGGTGGAGAGGTGGACTGATCTGGAGGGGTGGAGGGGGGGATACGGCCATGTTCGCTATGGACACAGTCACTGGCATTTGGTTATTCGGCTTGGGTGCTATGTTCCTGGGGAGACTCGGATGCATGGCCGTTAGATGAGGATTTATTCCTGGTTGTTGGTGGTAGTGGGAACTTAGGTACAGTGCTGAATGGGCCTGGCTGGGCCCATGGAACACAGATGGCTTTGAGTTGATCAGCTGAGGAGGTTGAGATGCCTTAACGTCAACAGGCTCACTGTAGCTCTGTGGAGGAAACAAACAAGAGTTGAAGTAAGAGATTGATGTGCCTCTAGTGCTGATTTCTCAGAGTAAGAAGTTTTGTGAGTTTATTTATGGACTTTCACCCGAATCAACACCTGTGACCCAAGACTAGTTTTGACTCTTACTTAAGAACTCCTCTACCATTATTTGTAATATGACTTACACAAGCCTGATTTTATTCAATTTATTTTATGAAGTATAAAATAATCTACTATGGCAATTCTCCTCCCCTAAATTCCGAATTGCTAAATTTTTTGGTCATCTGAACAAACTCACCACTTTGTTGGTGGTGGTGGTGGTGGAGGGAGGGAATGGGTGCATAATAGGAAATGCAAGTGTAGCCCATTTTGAAAGTAATTCACTTTCAGAATTCCTCTACTGATGTGTTTATTTTACTTCTACTTTTCAGATTGTCAAAGAGCCTTGACCTAGATTTTGTGCCAAGTAAACAAAGCTATTTGATGGAAATGTCTGTGGTAGAAAAGACTCCTAAAATACCTTTCTGAAGTCATATAAAACTATATTAATATATCTTCAAAGTAACTGTAGAACTCATCTTGCTTTCTTAAAAGATGGTGGTGATGTATTATCCCCTATAATGAACTGGATAAAAATAATCTCTTGTAGAACTTTTAGACTCCATCATATATTAATATAGTTTTGGCCCATTTTTCCTTTTTCACGTGGCCAATTCCTAACAATCTTTTAATTGACTTAAAAATCAGACATTTTAGTGGAAATGAAAATGATCAAGAATTAACCCTGAGGCAATTCTCCTTTGGTATGAACCTACCTCCTACTTTGGCTTAGAGGAAGAGACTATATAGCAACTGGTGGAAGGTGAAACCAGGTGAAAACAATGTTGAAATGCCCTTCTGGAGACAAAAGTCACTTTATCAAACATAGGTTTGAAGATGCCTGGATGTCCTATTTTGTGATCTGGATGTTACATTTATTCCATTTACAGGTTACACTCCACGCTGCGAGGAATGCCTGCGAGGGTCTGTTTGTATCCCAACTGGTCTGTGCCCATCTCCAATGGCCAATCCATAGGCTCATGGAGAGACTAGTTCATCGCACAAAATGATACAGAACTCAAAGCTGGAAACTTCTTTTTCACAAGTCAGCCTATAATACTTCAGCAAGAAAACTCATTTATTTCCAATAATCTAGAAAAACTAAGTGAAAACTACAATAAGAACTATGCTACACTTGCAGGGGTAGAGATGGGGTGGGTGGACTCATATCATCACATACTCTCTCTACAGAAAGTACACATCTGACACATGTAAGAATATGCCTGGAGGAGATTGTTGTTGTTGTTATGTGCCGTCGAGTTGGACCCGACTCATAGCGACCCCTCCTTGGGTTTCCGAGGCAGTATCGCTACGGAAGTAGATTGCCTCATCTTCCTTCCAAGGAGTGACTGGTGGGTTTGAACTGCTAGCCTTCTGGTTAGCAGTCAAGTGCCTTAGGCACTACGCTACCAGAGATTATATTGAGTGAAATTAGTCAATCACCAAAGACAAATATCGGATGAGACCATGTCTATAAAAAGTCAAGAAAAGGTTTACACAAAGAACGAAACATTCTCTGAAGGTTACCGGGGTGGTAGGGGAAGGGAGGGTAAATCACTAGAGCGCAGATAGATATTAACTTGGGTTCGAAGGGAAAGGCGATATGCAATAAAGGAGAGATGAGCACAAAATGATCAAGGCAAAGCAAGACACTGGGAGGAGTCCAAGAGTTAACAAAGGTAAATATTATTAAACACACAATCCTACAAAAACAGTAATAACAATAATATACATTGAACAGGTGTGGGAAGGAAAATAGGACTACTATGAAGATGTATCAGTTTGAGAGAGGACATTTCTACATATGTATTTGTATGTGTTGCAAATGTATCTATCAACATAGTAGAGCATGTAGGAGGCAAAGTTATGAAAGCCTCTTTGCCATAACCAAACACCATGAGGGAGTGAGTTGCTGGGCCTGGGAGCTCAGGACTATAGTATCAGGGGACAACAAGGTCAAATGGCATAACACAGTCCACAATGTTCTACATCTTATATTGGTAAATATTAACTGGGATCTTAAAAGCTTTTGAGTGGCCGTCTAAGGTGCAACTACTGGTCTCTTGCCATCTGAAGCAAAGAAGGGTGCTGTTGTTATGTGCTGTCGAGTCAGACCTGACTCATATCAATCCCTCCTTGGGTTTCCGAGGCAGGATCACTACAGAAGTAGATTGCCCCATCTTCCTTCCGAGGAGTGGCTGGTGGGTTTGAACCACCAGCCTTCTGGTTAGCAGTCAAGTGCCTTAGGCTTAAAACCAGAGCTCCCAAAGAAGGGTGAGGAACATCAAAGATGCAAGGAACAATTAGTCCAAAGGACTAACGGACCACATGAACCTTAGCCTTCACTAGCCTGAGACCAGAACTAGAAAGTACCTGGCTACCACTGCCGACCGCTCTGAAAGGGATCGCAACAGAAGGTCCTGGATAGCATGGTAGAAAAACATGGAACAAAATTCAAAATCATAAAAAGACCAAGCTCATTGGTTGGTTAGAAACTGGTAGAACTTCTGAGATTTTGGTCTTTAGACACCCTTCAAAACCTGGAATTGAATACATCCCTTTGCTTAACTCTGAGCCAAACAATAGGCCTATAAAGAAAATAACGACACCAGGGAGGTATGCACTCCTTGTAACAATCAACCATATGAGATGAAAAGGGCAGCATTTGCCAGGAATAAAGCTCAGAAGGCAGGAAGAGACAAGAAAGACTAATCAGAAAGGAAAACAGGAAGGAAGTGAGGAAGAGTGCTGTTACATTGTGGGGAATGCAGTCAATATCAGGAAACAAAAATGTTTATGAATTGTAGAATGGAAAATCAATTTTCTGTGTAAACTTTCATTCAAATCACAATAAAAAGTTTGCTTTAAAAAAAAAAAAAAATGAAACCACTGAAACCTGGTGTCCCATAAGAATCTGTAATACTAAGTTATATCCAAAGAGTTCAAGCCCCTCCAAGGAGTCCTCTTGTTATAGTATGTTTCCATGTCAATGTTGAATGAAGCATTCCAAAATAGGAATAGATGTTTAGCCTCTCCAGCTGTTGTATTAGCATTAAAAATGTCAAAAATTGTTCACAATAAAAAATTTCAAGGGGAGGTGTATATAGTTCCTAAAAGGTACTTTCAGTTAAAAAACAAAACAAAACTTTTTTTTTTCCTGCTTCTATTTTTAAATTCTTATGGTTGATATGCAGAACAGTGGACAATTCAGGGGACAGGTAACATGGGTCAATGCAGGCTGTGTAACCAGTGACTAGTTCTAATCAGAAAACATGGACTTTGGTTGATACATCTCAAAATCATTCCACATATGAATTATGTGTTTATAGTGGGCCTCTGGGTTTCAGTCATCTGGTGAAGCATTTTTCACTGTGCTTGTATTCCTCCTTCCTTAGCCTACTGAAGAGGGCTAATTTCGTATTTACTCACAGACTGCATCAACTTGTACAGGAAATAAATGATTATATAACAACAACAACAAAAGTTGTCAACTGGATTCTGACTGGTGCTGACCCTATGTGTGTCAGAGTAGAACTGTGCTCCACAGGGTTTTCAGTCGCAGATGTTTTGGAAGTAGACTGCTAGGCCTTTCTTCTAAGATGCCTCTGGGTGAGTCTGAACCTCGACCTTTTGGTTAGTGGGCAAACACATTAACAGCTTGCATTACCCAGAGACCCCATACAATAAACAAATATTTATAAAATTAATACATTAGTGAATCTTCATTTTTTGCTTTATGTTGTTGTTGTTGTTATGTGCTGTCCAGTCGGCCCCAACTCATAGCGACCCCTCCTTGGGTTTCCGAGGTGCTATCTCTATGGAAGTAGATTGCCCCATCTTCCTTCCGAGGAGTGGCTGGTGGATTTGAACCGCCAGCTTTCTGGTTAGCAGTCAAGTGCCTTAGGCACTACGCTACCAGAGCTCCTATAGTTGTTTTTAATTTAAATTAAAAAGCACTCATATTTACTATATGATCAAAATTATGAAATATATATAAATGTAAAACTGTTTTTTACTTTTTATTTCTGTAGTCAATCACCATCACCTCATCATCTCATAGCATGGCATCTACAGAGGAGCAGATACATCACAGGGACTTTTATTTGTGTGTGTGTATACATAAGCACACATGGGTATACATGTTATAGGGATGTAATCATGTAATCACCCCAGGAATTACAATTCAGTATAATTAAACAAATACATTTATTTAAATTAAACAAACTAAAACACATATACTTATGATACACTCTGACATATACAGTTTCCAAATTGAATTAGAGGAGTTTGTAGAAAAATAGATATCTTTGAAAATTAAGGTTCCATGATGACATATGTAGGGAAAACAGCCTTGGCCTCAGTAAGGTGAAATAGGTGCCTTTGCAGCAGGCTTGTCATTTTAGTGGATATTCCTGGCACATGACTTGTGGTCATTGTGAATGGCAACTAACTAACTATGTATCTATCTATGTATGTATCAATCTATCTTGTATTTATAGCAACCTAATTTGAGACATTATTGCTAACCTTATAAAGACTGTCTTTTATCATGGATAATCAAAGGCAAAACATTTTATCTACACAGCCATTTATTTTCCCTTTAACAACTCCATACTAAAGTATGCAAAGACCAGTATTACTAAACTTACTTTTAAACAATGACTTTTAATTACTAGGACTATATGCAAACTCAAATTAAATACCAAAACCAAACTCACTGTTGTCAAGTCGTTTCCAACTCATAGCCACCCCTCCTTGGGTTTCTGAGGTAGTATTTCTGTGGAAGTAGATTGCCCAATCTTTTTTCTGAGGAGTGGCTGGTGGTTTTGAACCACTAGCCTTCTGGTTAGCAATCAAGTGCCTTAGGCACTATGCCACCAGAGCTCCTTAGTTCTATATTTCCAA